ATCTTTTATTTATATTTGGCAAAAATACAAGAATAAACAAATTTGCTACATAAGTTTGGAATTTGGCCAAATCATCTTTATAATTACCTGTCACACGTAATGAATAAGACATACACAGATTTTGTAAGCTTGAATGCATAATTATTTTCATACTTATTAATGCTCTCTTCATAAATAAGCCTTCTATTCAAGCATTCACAAACTTTCACATTGTGCAGTACACATAGTATGGTAACATTTTTGAGAGAGACTTATTAACAGCCGGGCTATCATGTTAAGAGTCTGATGTACATGCAGACCCATGAGGATTGCAGATCAACAAATTATCCCCCTCTCTGTCAGTGTATTGACTCATGTGAGCTGACACAAAAGTCTCCATGCAAAGGGATGTGTCATAAGAAGGGACTAACCCAACTTACACAAACAAATTGTTTCATCGGTAAGATATTCACACATACTTTTCCAAGATGTGCAGGGAATAAATAGAAATGTATAAATATTTCTTTTAAAAATACAGGCATGGCTTCCCTGCATGAATTCTAAATAATGGCTGAGTGGAGAATTGAATACAGGCACAAGTGTTCACTCAAACCATTTTGTAGGTCTTAAAAGAAATGACATGCAGTCATTTGCCAAATACAGAATTTTATGCTGTAACAAAGTCACAAAACTGCAACTGGTGATCTTACAAGATCTGACAACACACTGGTTTAAAATCAAGTTGAAGTCACAATATGCCACCAGTACCATATTCCATAATACATTTGATGTCATTTAGATTTAAGAAGTAAATGGTGGACCAAAATGGTTTATTCTCAATATCAGGCATATGACTTAGGTTTGGGAGGAAAGACCACCTTGATTTCCAATCTGTCTGCATTATAGCATACATGTCAGTGCTAGATGGTTTGAAGTCAGCAGATTATGCTTTGTCACATTGGCAAAGATGTGCAGGGAACATTTTTATTTTTTATAAACCAAAATGGTTTATTCTCAATATCAGGCATATGACTTAGGTTTGGGAGGAAAGACCACCTTGATTTCCAATCTGTCTGCATTATAGCATACATGTCAGTGCTAGATGGTTTGAAGTCAGCAGATTATGCTTTGTCACATTGGCAAGATGAGTTCACTGAATATATCCTGTAAGCAGCACTCGAAAGTCAGGAAAAGTCTCTCACTATCCAACTCGTCCCTGCTTTGGACCCTCAAGAGAAGTTCCTCTTTTTTTGGTGGAGAGCCATGGAGTTCCTCTTCCATGTAAAAAACTCTTCTTCAGGACACTCTTCTTCAGGACATCATACTGGCAGTTGCTCATAACCTTAAGGTCTAAAAAAGCAAATCAAAATAATAATAATAATAATAATTTATTAAGATTGCAACCCAGTGGGTTGAAGTTGTACATAATGTTAAGAAAGTTATAATGCAAATAAAGTGAATATTTGCTTGAATAAAACTGAGTTAAAAGACTGCTAATTGAACTTTAAAATTATTGTACTTAGGATAAAAGACAACATAATACTATTGGAAATTTAAAAGTGCATATGGAATAAAAGAGCATCAGAATCTGTCAGTCTTAAACTGTGGCACTTTGTAACTATTGTTTGATCTTAAAAGACGATTGGATTGCTCAATAAAGATGTGATTCAGTTTGTCAGGGGATTCAGTTATTTTGTAAAAGAAAGTTTTGCACAGATCTCTTCGTTTATCTAAAGTAAACATATTTGCCAGGTTCAGGGTTTCATCATAGTGTAGGTCAGGGAAAATAATCTTCAAAGCACGAGTTTGGTCAGTCTCTTAGAGTTTGCATTGCTCTATAGTTAGTCCTGGATGCTACACAGGGCAGGCATATTCTAGAATTGAGTGCACAATACTTTGGTAAAGCTTAGCTCGTTTCAGTTGACGTAGGAAATAGAGTCTTGCATTATGTTTACATTATGTGTCGCCAATTTGGAAAAAATTGATAAAAGAGAAGTCATGCACCTATAATGCCTAATATATGATGAGTGAATATCAGCTTATTAAAATTCTGCTTACTCTAAAGACATGTTTTAGTCCCATGTTGGATCATCAGGATCCTTTAATTCCCTTTTCTTCAGCATCTTCCTCCTCTNAAAGTAATCTTCAAAGCACGAGTTTGGTCAGTCTCTAAGAGTTTGCATTGCTCTATAGTTAGTCCTGGATGCCACACAGGGCAGGCATATTCTAGAATTGAGTGCACGATACTTTGGTAAAGCTTAGCTCATTTCAGTTGATGGAAGAAATAGAGTCTTGCATTATGTTTACATTATATGTTGCCAATTTGGAAAAAAATTGATAAAAGAGAAATCATGCACCTATAATGCCTAATATATGATGAGTGAATATCAGCTTATTAAAATTCTGCTTACTCTAAAGACAGCTTATTAAAATTCTGCTTACTCTAAAGACATGTTTTAGTCCCATGTTGGATCATCAGGATCCTTTAATTCCCTCTTCTTCAGCATCTTCTTCTTCTTCCATCTGCACTTCTTCCAGTTCAGGCATCCCATAGGAAAAAGTTACCTTGATACTGCAACCAAAAAAAAGCAACAGTACATAAAATTAAGATAATCAAGTTTGAGAAAAATCATGTAAAAACATAACTGAAATAAGTATAAAATTCAACTGAAATAAGTATAAATGCCATTTTTCTCAATATGATCACCTTAAATTATCTAGACTGTCATCTTCAACTGCACTAGTATTAACTACAACTTAATTTTGAAGTTTCTTGATCAATTCATATTGGTTTAATCTCCGAAATACTGGTTGGACTCTAAAGTTAAAATTGTATGATCTAAATTATTACTCTGGACTATTTATCCATTTACAGATGTACTAAACATAAACATGCAATATCTCCTTTCTGATTTATTTATTTATTTATTTTTAATGTAAAAAGGAAACTTAATTGCCTTTAGAATATAAAATCAAAATACTATTCAAAGATATTTTCAATTATAGTTGACATGCCATTTAAAACTGAGTTAAACTTATATACAATAACAGCTTCTGCACATTCATTTTGGGATTAAGATGCCTAAAGAAATAGCATCTTGGTCATACGTCTTAATTACTGTGTTTTGCATGCCCAGATGTAAGAGGCACAAGAAATGTGCCCTCGGTAAGTCAACAATTCGCCCCGGCCATGGTAATGTACATGTAATGAAACCAGTATCTCCCACCATGTCCATTTCCATTTAAACTTTCTTTGCTGTATAAACTTACCCAAACCCTGTCAGAGTCGACATATGAGCAACACTTGTAATTCCTGTTATCCATACCACTCATATCGATTAGTTACAATTTCATGGCATATTTTGGCAAACGAGCCTGACAATCGTTAAGAAATACAACGAACACACGTAAATAAACATTAATATCTGTGCTTAATAAATATTTTTACTGGTGTCTTATCTCAAACATAATTGTAAATGGTACTCACAAATCCAGTAAATACTTCGCGGCCAGGCGATCCTTCGTATCCATGGCCATCCATGCAAGCAGGTTAATTTTCATCTGCCTTCTTCCTCACCGGTGTTTATTGTTTGCCTGTCGTACATTTGCTGATACACTGTTTTACGCGCATTTTATTTTTCTGGTGTTGACTTTTGTAAAGAGTGTTTCCTTTTTGTTATCTTTCTTCCCTTCTTCGATGGAGTCTCAACTAATTCAGCCTCCTGTTCCATGTGCTTTCCCGGCAGCTTGAACTAGTTTTAACTAGGTCACAATACGAGAATCTCGCGATATCCGGAAGTCTAGAGAGCTCAATTATGAAAATGGAGGTGGTTGTTGGTAAACCTCCGCTTAAGCGGAGGTTTTCTTTTTATTGTATTTTCCAAAAATGTTACAGAGCGATGGCGAGTGCCGGGAATGATAGATTAAAGGTTGGTAAATCGCGGAAAAGTAGTGTTAACCTCAGGATAAATCAGGATAAATCAATTTTGGCGCGAAAATCCTCTTTTGTGTCCTTTTAACATGAGTTCTCGATTTTTGTGTTGAATGCTACAATTTATAACAAAATCATGGGGAAAAGTAAAAGATCAAATCCAAATTTGTAAACTGCAGTTCATGGCGAAAAGGAGGTCAAATGTCAAATTCAAAGTCACAGAAAGACTGTCAATATATGAGTTCCTATTCAAGTTTATTAGTATCAACTGGCATATCTGTCAGTTTTGGAGATATAGTTGTCCAATTTAGTCCATGGGGAAAATTATGTCAAAGGTCAATTTCAAAGTCATAGTTAGATTGCCAGTATATGACTTCATATTCAAGTTCAATATTAACTATGGCCCTATCTCTGCCAGTTTTGAAAATATAAGGGACTAAAATGTTGAAATTTTGGAGTTATAGTAATGTGCAATAAGTTTCGTACAGAAGAAATTAATTGAAATAAAACAGGTCTTTTTGGTTGATATTCATGAAACGGGAGGTGCTCAGAAATTCCAAAGGTTTGAATTTCGTGAAATAATGTCATGTTGTTTTTGACCAGAATCTTTTCCAGACTGCACATTTTATTTTCACCACCACAATGTACTTTTGATACAGCATAACTTGTAAACCGTATGGAATACATTAAATAAAAAATAGAGTATCTTCCAAATGAACATATCTCCCTTTTGAAATGATGAAGCCTTTACCTAATACCATAACATACTTTGCTAAAATGGATGAGACACATTAAGAATAAAACATTTTATTTGTCTTAATTGTAAAGTGGCAGAGAAGGACATTTTAACAAAATTTGTAGTGCAGATAGATACCCAGTAGAAAACTGCATGGTAATATGTCTTGTCTTATTGTCATACTACTTTTGATTCAGGGGAAATAGACTACCTACTTAACTATGCATCNATTAAGAAATACAACGAACACACGTACATAAACATAAATCTCTGTGCTTAATAAATATTTTCACTGGTGTCTTATCTCAAACAGTATTGTAAATGGTACTCACAAATCCAGTAAATACTTCGCGGCCAGGCGATCCTTCGTATCCATGGCCACCCAAGCAGCTAGGTTTTAATCTGCCTTCTTCCTCGCCGGTGTTTATTGTTTGCCTGTCGTACATTTGCTGATACACTGTTTTACGCATTTTTTTCTGGTGTTGATTTTTGTAAAGGGTGTTTCTTTTTTCTTTTTGTTATCTTACTTCCCTTCTTCGATTGAATTCCAGCTAATTGAGTCTCCTGTGCCATGTTGGCTTTTCCCGGCAGCTTGAACTGGTTTTAACTAGGTCGCAATACGAGAATCTCGCGATATCCGGAAGTCTAAAGAGTTCGACTATGAAAATGGAGTTGGTTTTTGTTATTGTATTTTCCAAAAATGTTACAGAGCGATGGCGAGTGCCGGGAATGATAGATTAAAGGTTGGTAAACCGCGGAAAAGTACTGTTAACTCCAGGATAAATCAATTTTGGCGCGAAAATCCTCTTTTGTGTCTTTTTAATGGAAATATGTCAGCAAGATAGTCATCATTATAAGATCAGATTGCTACTGAAGCTATATATGTCACTTATGAAGATGACAGGCTTTGCATTGATTGAAGTACCTAGAGTTTGAACTTCCCAAAAATCATGTTTTATTTAAGATTGAAGAAACTAAAGCAAACAAGACCAGGTGTAGGTGCAATAACTGTACGATTTAAATTGTACCATCCAGATAGGAGATTGTACCTTGACATTTTGTAATTAATATTTAAAAAGAACAAAATCATTAAATGATGGAAATGGGCAGGATAAATTTTTTAAGGTAGCAGAATGCTCTTTTTGTCAGTTTCGAGAGATACAATAGCCAGACAGATTAGAACATTAATGTACCAAGGAGTGTAGATAAATTTGGGCCACAGCAGTGACTGCTGCAAAATTTTAAAAGCAGCTGGATGGCTTTAAAAAAAGATCAAGTATTGCCAAGTATTACAATAAACCAAATAAAGGCAAAGAATTTTCAGAAGCATTTAAATATTTAGAAAAAGTATGTTGAACTATTCAATTGAGCTATAATTGCTCTCATAATTACCAGCAAAGGTATGCGCTAGTGCACATGTGTTCTCGACTAAAATGGGGATTTTGTACGGCCTCCTTTGTGTGGAAATGAAATAGAATAAAAAAATTAAGTGAAATTCATTGAAATTTGATTAGAGTTCTATGGAGTTACTAATTCAAATGAGAGGTAATTAGCTCACCCACCTCCCCTTCTTCCATAGCAAAGGGGTGGAGTACTTGGTTTACATATTTAGATATGTATAACTGTATATAATGTGTTGAAGTTATTATGTATCTAAGATAACAGTAAGCATTGATTTCACTTGCTTGTAGTCACCATATTTCTACTTTAATACATCTTTTATGATCAAATACAGCTACATATATTATGTTTTTCTTATTAATTCTGCTCGAAGCATCATTCAGTCAAATGACATTTTTTTAGATATTTAAAATCAATCAAACAGTCAGCCATTCTGTGTGTCTTTGTAGAAGCACAGTCATACCCTGAGGGTTGGTATTGTCCACAACCCTCGCAGTCCCAGTACCAAGTTGTATAGAGGCAGCCAGATTCCACTGGCCATCCACACAGCACTGGGATCTCAGGTTCCACACATTGCCAGGAGCTTTGTCACCAAGCTGCTGAAAGAGGACAACATACATGCCATATTGGAAGGGACAGAGTCACTCAGTGACTTGGAAGTCCATGTAAGCATTTCTCTCTCTCTCTCTCATTCTCTCTTTATGTGTGGTATCTTTTTAATTAGATAACAAATCATGTCAAACTGATCCTAGGGTATGGTAATGGAGGTGTACCTCAAGGCCCTGGACGTACAGACGATGGCTTTCCTACAGTTCCACTCAGCCTTCTGCACCCAAGTCCTGGGCTTTGAGCCAGGCGCCCAAGGAGTTATAGTGAATGGAAGAATAATTGGTCCATTAAAAGACCAGAAAACATTCATAGAGGATGACTATAATCTACTGGAGAAATATACACAGAAGTCGTCTGCTGAGAAAATTGTTCAGATGCTGACGGGATTTACAGAGGACACAAAGAGGTACAGTCAGTGTGGAAGTGATATAACATGGGGCTTAAGGCAGACTCACTTTGGTGTGGAAAAATCTGTTGAAATTTTCTACCTCCTGTGAGGTTTGTGATTTAAATGTAAAATGACTGTCAATATAACATCAGGTAGAAACATCTAGGCTATTATATAGTGCATCCATGTATTTGATTTTCATGCACTGATATTACACATCTGATTTCAATTAACTGTTGTGAAAATATAACCAAAATTGTTATTGANAAAATGTAACCAAAATTGTTATTGAGATAAATAAGATGGAACGGAAGTGGATTTTTTTTTATTTAATTAAGATTGTGTGCTTAAGTCAAAAATTCTAAACTTAAATATTTATAATATGTAAATAGTTTTGTTTCCAAGGTAATTTGAGTAAAACAGTTAATGATTCCAACTTGAGTCTAGTCTAATTTTCTGGCCCTCTTCATATGAAAATGCAAATAGTTTTAATCCTCTGCTTTTATTTTAGTGCAATTTATCACATTGTTCATTTTCTGATAAATATTTAGTTTTCTGGTACTGCTCAGTACTTTTTTTCTTTAAATTTGAAAATATTTGCTATGACTGCAATGTTTTGGTATGAATTGTGATACTTAAAGTAGGTTTTGTATAGTTATTACCTCCGCCAAGAAGGTTGTTTTTGGTTCTGTTAGTTTGTCTGTCTGTCTGCCTGTCCGTCTGTCAGTCTGTCTGTCTGTCTGCTAGCAACATTACAGAAAAAGTTATGGACCGATTTTGATGAAATTTACTGGAACTGTCAGAAGTGGACCAAGGAACAGATGATTAGTTTTTGATGGTGATCCCGATCAATAATCAATCAATAATAAAAAACTAAATCATTATAGAATGAAAATTTAGGGGTGAAACGGCATTGGGTGGAGACTTTGCTGCCTTGGCGGAGGCCTGTGCTCTCAGAGTGCTTTTCTAGTTGGTCATTTGATTTTTGCAAACTATTTCAATGCTAAAAGGCACTTATGAACAGTTCACTTAGATAATGAGAACTTTTGTATCAGATTTGTAAAATGCATTGCACCCACATATCAGCAGTGAGTGTTTTTATATTCTTTATTTTTGATTTATTTCATGGCCTACTAAAGCAATTCAGATCAGGATACTTTTTATTGGCCTCTCTCCTGTTAGTGCTAGATGGTGGCAGGGGGGGTGAGAATGGCCCTTAAAGCAATGAGACACACATGGAGTGTGGTTTTAAGTTACCTTTATAAGTATTATTTCTATTATTATTATTATTATTATTATTATACCAAAGCTGGCACTTCGAACAACAGGATAATTGCATTTGTATTTCACATACAGGCTTGCATGTATTTTCATACTATTCGGTGCATTCATCCTGTTGTTAAAAGCACTAGCGATGGTATAAGTCAGCCACTGTATGCGACATGCAAGAGCAAAATATATCTCAACTCGTGTTGTAACTAGTACTTATTGTTGTTATTGTGTTGATGAACATGACATAGAGGCTTTCATTTTTATGTACAGACACAGATGTGTCTGTACATATAGCCATCATCTGCGTCTGTCGTCGCCGTCGTCNATCAACATAGATACTTTGGAATACTGTCAGAAAATATCTCAGGGCCCGTCCTGTTATTGACCATGTTACCTGTTGTGCATGATTAAAATTCAGTGTTGACTGACAGTGCTATTATAAGCATTATTTATTATTGCATCAAAATTGACAAAATGACCTTTTTTTTGCATCTTTATTTTCTGTTTTTTGTCTGTACATTTGACAGCTTTGCTGCCTTGTTGTTATGTACAGACACAGATGTGTCTGTACATATAGCCGTCACCTGTGTCTGTCGTCGCCGTTGCTGTTGCCATTGCCATTGCCATGCACTTTTACCGTAAACACGATAAGTGGAAAACGGTTTTACGTTTTGGCTTGAAACTTACAGAACTGATGAATATTCATAATACGTAGGTCAAGTTCGAAAATCAGCATGATCCGGCCATTTTTAGGGAAGTTATGCTGTTTTTTTCTCTTTTTTCAGCAAATATACAATACCATAAACAAGATGAGTGGAAAACAGTTTTACCTTTTGATTTGAAACTTACAGAACTGAAAAATATTCATAATACGCAGGTCAAGTTCGAAAATCGGCATGATCGGGTCATTTTTATGGAAGTTATGCTGTTTTTTTCACTTTTTTCAGGATATATGCAACCCTGATAACACGATAAATAAAAAACTGCTTTACTTTTTGGCTTGAAACTTATAGAACTGATGAATATTCATAATATGCAGGTCAAGTTCGAAAATCAGCATGATCGAGCCACTTTTATGGAAGTTATGCTGTTTTTTCATTTTTTTCAGCATATATGCAACACTGATAACACAATATAAGAAAAACAGATAGGCCAATTGTCATTGTACTCACAGGAGTGGTCAATCTTACTAAAACACAGGTTGAGTTTGAAAATCAGCATAATCGGGCTATTATTTTAGAAGCTATGCTTTTTTTTTCACATTTCCTCAGATTCAATTCTTAGGCATGTTAATAGTCTCATTATTGAACTAATAAGATACGTAAAAGTGTTTGTTTGACATTTCCTGCATCTTTACAACATTGTCAGTTGATTATGTAAAAATGATGGTAAAGTTAATATTGTGTATTGTATAATGAAGTGTCAAAAATGGAAATAAACACATATCATTGCAGTTTGTCAGATTCAATCATCCACTATGTTCAGAATGGAGGAAATTGGACATTTAACACTGTTCTATTGATATTTTTCCCATCTCATCAATTTTCTTAGTTGGTCATATAAAAATGGCAGTAAACTTTTTATTTTGTTTTATGTTAAAAAAGTGTTAAAAATGGAAATCAACCCATTTCAGAAAAGTGCTGTCTTGTTTACATTTTGGCATTTTCAAGATGTGACTTTGAAGACCTTTGCTAGTCACATTTTCTGAATATCCATGATACTAATATTTTATTATTAAAAATTAATGGTCATTATGCTGTTAAACATTATGTAATATTGCATCAAAATTTGAAGAAACCCCTATTTTGGACACTGCTCACATGATGACCATTTAAGGAAAATCATGTCACTTACTGTTCTCAAACTTACAGGAAAGAAACATGGCTCTAAAATACAGCTTCAGTAGGCAATGCAGTCTGTTTGGTAATTTTTTTCTGGGAATTAAACAGTTTTTTGTGAAAACTTAATTTTTTACTTATTGGCATTTTCAAGGTGTGACTTTGGAGTTGCAGGATCCTGAAGACCTTTGCTTGTCACGTTTTCTGAATGTCCATGTTACTAATATTCTATTATTAAAAATTGATGGTCATTATGCTGTTAAGCATTATGTAATGTTGCATTAAAATAGAAGAAAACACAATTTTTAGTGCTGCTGCTATGATGACCATTATGGGAAAACCGTGTTATTTGTGACTGTCAAACCTTTAAAAAAGAAACACTGGACTAAAATGCAACCTGAGTTGGAAAAGCAGTCTAAATTGGCTTCTTTTTCTGGAAGTTATACATTTGAGTGAAATATTCATTATCTTTTTGGCGTATTCATTGTGGGACTCGGAGCTCCTATGGACATGAAGCCAAATGGTAAATCAAATTTTCTACATGTCCATGCTATTTATAGTCAATAATCAAAAATTGGTGATAATTATTCTATAATTTATTATGTAATGTTACGTCAAAATTGACAACATTCTTTTTGCACTGCTACTGCAAACATAATGAAAAGAAAACTGTGTTACTTATTATTATTTTTAACTTACAAGTATGATTTTTAGGATTGGCATGCAGTTCAAGTTAGAAAGCCAGGTCAATTGGGTTATCATTTATTATTGAATTTATGCAATTTTGTGTGAAATTTTCATTTTTCTCATTCTGGCACTTTCTAAGGATTAACTTGAACTCTGATGGGCCTGAAGCCTTATGCTTTTACTTTCATCCGTGTTACCTGTTGTGCATAATTAAAATTTGAAGTTGACTGTGCAGTTAAACATAATGTATTATTGCATCAGAATTGGTAGTCTCCTATTTTGTGCATTATTGTTTTGTGCTTTTCTTAAGATGTGACTTATGGGCCTGAAAGACCTTTGAGAGGGTTAGTCTGTAAATTTCCCTTGGGTATCACTTAGCTAAGTTTTGAGTTATAAAGTCATTTGCCTAATTAATAGGACGTTAAATGAGATTACATAAAGCACACTTGTTGATATTTCCCTGTAAACTCCCAAAGGTTAAGCTCTCTGTTAGATTAATGATAAGGAAGTAGTGATAATTATGCAGGTAAATTATATATATATATATATATATATATATATATATATATATATATATATATATATAACTCGAATATTAAAAGTTTAAATAGCAGCTTCATTGGAATTATATTTACCTCAGGCTTTGCCAAGGAGGTTATATTTTCACCCCTGTTTGTCTGCCATCAACATAACTCAAAAAGTTATGGACTGATTTTGCTGAAATTTTCAGGAACTGTCAGAATTGGGCTAAAGAGGACAATGAATAGTTTTTGGTGGTGGTCTGGCTCAATAATCAATCAATAATTAATAATAAATAACAATTGCTGCCTTGGCAGAGGTCTGCACTCTCGGAGTGCTTTTCTAGTTTTGTTATGTTTTCCTTTATAATTTTTTCTCAAACACTTGCATTTGTGACTTTTAACTCTCATCCGCTCGAGGCTCTGCACATTTTCTGTATTTCCACATAAGCAGTTGTATTGTTTTTTATGTCTTTAAACATTATGTAATATTATTTTTTGCACTGTCATCATTTTTCAAATATTGAGACTTTCATCATGTGACTTTGGTCTCTTGGTCCTGAAACTGTAATCTTATTGAAGGGGTGGATTGAGACCATCTTCTGGGTCTTCTGGAAGACAGTCAGGTTATTAAGTTTATATTGACTGGTATCCATTATTTTTTCTTTTGGAAGACCATCAAAATAGAGGATGGATCAACATAGATACTTTGGAATACTGTCAGAAAATATCTCAGGGTCCGCTCCTGTTATTGACCATGTTACCTGTTGTGCATGATTAAAATTCAGTGTTGACTGACAGTGCTATTATAAGCATCATTTATTATTGCATCAAAATTGACAAAATGACCTTTTTTGCATCTTTATTGTCTGTTTTTTGTCTGTACATTTGACAGCTTTGCTGCCTTGTTATAGTCTTGTCTTCATTTTGATTTAAAGAAGAATGCACTTTAGGTTATATTCAAAATATGTCCCAGTTTTTGTCATGATAGTGAAAAAAAACACATTTAAGGTATTGTAGGGAGTTTCTCAAAAAATAACATCACAAGTAGTTGCAGCAGGAACTGCTTATTTATACATACTGTGTATCTATCTTGTGTATCTATTCAGGGTCAGTGACATGGTGATGCAGGTGGGCAGTCTGTTGATGTCCAATCAGCAGGCTAGCATAGCCTCCAGGACTGACGTACAGTTTGCTGGAGACCAGCACAGGTATGTTCACATACAGCACAGGGATGCTCACACACACACAGTACAGGGATGCTCTCTCACACACAGTACAGGGATGCTCTCTCTCTCTCTCACACACACACACACACACACACACACACTATACATGTGCTGATGGCATTTTTTCTCCAAATATTATTACATTACTATAACATGAGGTGCAGTACCAGGTTTTTGGAGTTAATGAGATGTGTCATACAAAATAAACTGTGAAATAACCCTTCCTATGGACAGGTCACTGCATTTTTGCATTGTCGTAACTTATGAAACAAAATGAACAACCTATCCTAGAAACATACCAAGGAGCCAGTGAACAGGGGATTGGTGTGTACTTTGTGCCTGTCCATTTACAGCTACACGGGATATCTTCTCATTTTCTTCGTAGTGTAGATTTTTCTGATTGAATTATTGCATCATGAAGTAAAATTTTTCACAGACAAAGGGATTTCAAAGTAAAGAAAAAAGTTGAAATATGATATGATTCTTAAATAAGTATTAAAAAACCCTGCATCAATTATCCTGAAGTTCAAGAACTGGATGGAGTATGATACCTTCTGAAGTCATTATGTTGCATATTGAAAATATTGTCATTAACAATTTGTTGTTTAACTTGGCATTGTTTTTCTGGAAAAAGAACTAGATTTTGTCTGTGATGTAACTCTGTGTATTTTACAGGCTATTGATACAGTTATGGCACTTCTGAGTGTCTGTGAAGACCTGTACTGGTAAAATTATAAATACTTTACTGACTGTTTAAAATATCTACATCTTCAGTGTGTTAAAAATCCCTGCTAAACCTGAGGAACCAGCCTATGATGTAACATTCATAGTGGACCCAGTTTCCCGGGAGGCACAGAAAGTGACCCCATTACTCAGGGTGAGTACAGTTTGGGATTTGCCAAACAATTGAGACCTTTCACTCTAAGAGAAGGCACCTTTATGTATTTAATCTGTTTATCCTGCACAAGCTGCACAAGAAGTTAGACAGAGTCAGTGTAAAAGTCAATTGTTTTTATACAACAATTGTAAATAACCACAGATGTGGAAACAATTAAATGTATAAGGTAATTTAGTTACCAAGGTCAAAATAAACAGATTGATCTTTTTGTAGAAGATAGCAGTTAAAACTTATATTAAGTTGCATCAATCACTTGACTATTAATCAACAGAAGTAAAAAATATGATGATGTTAGGTACTTATATATGATAAATCACTGTTAGCTGATTTTACATATAGTATTTAGTATATATTCTCATCAGTAAACAGGGGCGTATTCAGAGCTATTTTCTGACAGTCTTCCAAATTATGTTTATTGATATATCCTCCAATTTTGACCTTCTTCCAACAGAAAAAATAAGATACCTTTTAATGTAAACTTGAAAATCTGACCGTCTTCTGGAAGACTCAGAAGACGGCTTAAATCCGCCCCTGGTAAAGTATGTATAGATTTTGGAATGTTTAGGCACCACTGTCCACTGATGGCTGTGAGTGGAATTTCATGGTGATTTGTAGATACCTACTGTATGTCACTGATGGCTGTGAGTGGAATTTCATGGTGAATTGTAGTTACCTACTGTATGTCACTGAGGGCTGTGAGTGGAACTCCACAGTGACATGAGTCTCCTTAGGTACCACTGGATATGTAGTTAGCAGAATATATGAACAATTAAAACTTCAGTACCTAACACAAGGGGGTTGAACTCCAAAGAACGAGGTACATTGATAATTCTGGTATTTTGTCTCTTTTACACACAGAACACTTAAAATAATTTGTGCATCTAATAACTACATATCTTGGTATTCTTTCGTCCCAAATGTTCCCCTGAAATACAGCAGAGATGCAAAGGTTTTAACTTGCTTCAAGATGTTCACCAAATCAGTGCATAAGTAAGCTCAGTACTGAGGAAATATTTATGGGTACATTGAGGATAAAGAAAGTCAGAATTATACTCAATGTACTTCCATCTTGGGAGTTAACCCCCTTAAACTTTTTTTTTTAATTTCTCAAAATGTATCTACTATAAAGATTCAATTAAATGCTACAACATTATATCTAGCACATTAAAGTAAAGATACCTCAACTCACATGAGGGATTGTCGTTCAAAAGCCTCTCTTTCCTTCAGGATCTTCCCAACAACATGATCCATCAGGTGAACATCAAGTCGCTGCCTCAGGAGTGGATGTGGTGTGAGACTTGGTGCAGTGATGACGAGAAGTCAAAAGCCAAAACTATTGATTTGGTAAGCTTAAAGAATTATTAATAACTAATGAGTTACAGAATATATTTTATAAAATGGTGCACAATAGTTTTACAAAATTTTAGTTAAAGAGTTCAGTGTTTGTTTTAGTAAAACTGCATTGTTGTTCCTACAAGTGGCAATTTATTTACTTAATAGTTACAAAATCTCATTTTAAAGGCTGTAGTTAACTTCTGATAAGTTTGTTTATGAGGTTGAGACTACTTGAATGTTTCAATTTACTGCAGAGCTCTGGAGCATATTTAACTTCTGAAACCTGATGCTAAAAATGAAGTCACTATTTCATTTTTATTTTATTTTGTAAGAAATGCAACTTGTTTTATGAAAGCTATCAAGACTGGCATTGTGGATTAAGAGTGATTTGACTGGGGGCTATATTTCACCTATTGTTTTCTCCAGTGTAATAACCTGCAGACCAAAGAACCTAAGCTCAATGCAGCTAAGAGAAAAGTAGCTGAGTGGGAGGAATATGACAATGAAGAAAGGAGGATATTTGAAAACTTTACCAGCAATAAACCCACACTAGGTTCACTAAGTGCTGACCACATTGAAGCACAAGGTCAGTGAGATTTTGAATTCTGACGTCTTGCTTGAATCCCTCAATAAAGCAGCTTATGCACCTCAAAAAGTGGTTAAGTGTAAAAATAAGTTGAAATGTACAGAGGCTTTTTACTGTCATTCATTGATGAAAAACAGTGTAGTGTATTAGTAAAAACTATAGCTTTCAAGTCTGTTAAACTAGATAAGAAGTGTAAGTGAGCAGCACTTCAGGTAAAGTGCAATATTTTCAGTGAGCTGGATGGCCTGAGCAATCCATATTTTATCAAAATTTTTATTGCTGTATTTCAATTTATTCAATCAAAGTGATTTTTTTTAAAGACATCTCATTGGAACTGTTGGCACACTACCGTATTCATTCATTATAAAACAGACATAATTCCAATCATTTGCTATTATATTTTATTGTCCTGTCAATACTCCACTAATATCCTAAAGCCTCCAGACATGCTATCAGCTTAAAATCAAATTATTTTTTATTGAGGACATTTTAATAACATTTTCAAACCTGGTTGACTTTTATCTCAAATAGAGGAAACATGGAACGGCTATACTTTATACATATTTTGTCCCATGCACATTTAATTTTATCAATTGTCCACAAAATGCATATAAAAATTGCAAAATAAAGTCATAAGTATTATGTAATTGTGTCATTCCAAGTGGTATAGTTAATATTCAGTAAGTTTACTACAAGTTGCTTAGCTTTTTGTTGTCTTTCCAGAAACCAGTACACAACCAAGAGATGAGCTATGATACTAGTCTATTACTAGTTCAGCTGCTGCAATTGAGGGAGGTGCTGTCTGCATTCCATTTATTCCTTCTCAACAAAAATGCTCTCCAATATGAATTTTGAAGATTATGTTATTTCTTAGTTGGTGGAAACAGATTAAATATATATTAATATGAATATGCAATAAATATGCAGTTTTCAAACATACACAAATAACAAAATTTAAATTCTTGAAACAAAAAAACACACATTGCAGATTAGATGTTATAATTGCTGTTTTTATGCAATTTATCAATCAGTTTGAATTCAAAGATGAAGTTTGTAATTTGTGGTATTGTTAGTGGTGGCTGGGTTGTGACATAGGCAGTAATATGAGGTCCAAGGCAATTTTGTTTCTTTTTCAAAATATTGGCTAGATAGGCAGCTGTTACATTGGGGGGTGCATAAAATCTATATATATATTAGGTTCATAGGATATTTAAGTAGACTGATGGTGACAGTGATATCAGGGCTTAGTCTCTGTCTCCCTTAAGCTATTACATTGCTCTTAGAATCATTGTTATTTCACTGCTGACAGTGTAAGTTAAATGTGAAAAAAATATATCTACACCCCTTCATTCAGTCTTTCAGGATAGTCTCTTTTGATCAGCTTTGTTATGCATAATGTTATCATGTTTAGGAAAATAATTATTTTTTAACTTCATTTTTGTTGTACCCCAACTGTCTAAGCTAGAGATCCATTGGATGTGTGGCACCCTGACATGGCTGTCTGTAGGTGTGTTCTTACTACAGGGGAGGAAACCAACCACTTATTTTTTGTGGCAATTGTGTTATTATTATCACTATTAGCCATGAAATCTTGTTTCTTGTATGTTTTGAGGAAAAAACTGAAATATTACAGTAACAGCAATAAGTTCTAGAGAAGTGGTATTTGGTGCCATTTGTCTTTAATTCTAAGTTCCAGAGCTTTGTGTTGTAATATCATTAAAGTGAAAAAGTCAGATAATATATTTCCAGTAAATGTTGTTGAATATCTCTGAAATAAAAATAGAGGCAACAGGTGTAACTGATATGTGTATGTAGAAAGTAAAATGTGGAGATTCATATTTTGTTCATGGACTTAAATTATGACATTTTTATGGGCTTTTTTACATCGATTATGTCTTAGTCACACAGCTGTACCAGTATGTTTTGAGAAATTGACAACTATGTTAAGTCAGCTAAATGGAGGCTGAGTGCATTATATCTGTGTCTTATTTCCTTTCCGTCTCTTAAAGCACATATATACAGCTTTATCTTTGGCAATTTTTTAGCGTACAGCACAATATGAATGGTGCTACGCTGGTTAAACTCAGGAGGGAGGTGTATCTCCTTTACAGCATGTGCAACTTAATGTTATGTACAGCTATTGCCATAAAATTGTGAACAAAAGATTGTTACCAGACTATTTAATGATATTTATATATATTCCTGTAATGTGACATTAAAAAATACCAACCAAAGACTTCTCACTGAAAACTATGGAAAGCCAGTGTAATGTTATGGTAGTAATAATAATAATGCCAGTTTTGTCTGTATTTTTGGTGAAAAGAGTAAAATAGCTGTTCCATTGATCACATTGACAAAGCTCAGTATATTTAGAAACTTGACAACAAACAAAATATGCGTACTGAATAAAAGAATAAAAATTTTGAAAGGCTTACATATGCAGCTTCTGTTGTTCATATACAGTTAAAATGTAACAAATATAAATTAGAAAATGAGGGAGTACATTTGTGTTGCGCACCTACACATGATAACTTTTGTGAAACTATTGGCGATTACGAAAAAAAATTGTGAAGCTTGAGAATAAAAGAAATTTAATACTATTGTGATTTTGCTGATTTTTGATTGTGAATTTTGATTATGCATTTGCAATTGATTTTCCAAAATACCGTGTATAACCAATTGAAAATTCTTTACAAGTCACATGGAATACAATCTGATACTTGGGAATCTGAGGTAATGGTTTGAATGGTCAAAGTAAAGAAAACAAATGGGACAGCAGTGTTGTGGATAATAGCAATGTTGCAACTTTGATTTTGTCTTGGAAGACATTGACATTTAGGTTTTAAATTATATAATAAAATTAGACTATTAGACTATTTTGCAAACCTGAAAAAAAAGTGATCTTGACTTAGAGATCCCACTGTTCCCCTCTCTCCCTGAGGCTGGAGAAGCACTGCTCGGGCCACTTTGTTTAAGGGGGACAGGAGAAAATTATCAAGGAATTAAATATTATTTAAAAAAAGGTCATCACGATTCATATAAATTTTAATGGATTTAGAAAAGACAGAAGAGGAGGAGATCTTGCAAATGTCTTCTTAAATTTTTATGAGATAACAAAGAGAGAATGAATGAGAGACGTGATGCAAACAAGTCGGTCATTGTGATTTTGGAAAATATTTCTATATAAAAAATGGGCTGCAATTTGATTTTAAAGGACCATCCATTTTTAATTATACACACTAAGATTAAGCTGTCATTGTAATATGCATTCCCAAACTCTCAACAACAACCGAGTGCCCTCACTTTTCTCACCTGAGGGATTAAAAACTAGTCAAAGTCATATGCTTGCCTATTAAATTCTTTAGCTGGCATTTAATCACTTGTAGCAATTGTCACTGCATTATGAGCAGTTGCATTAACTGAGAGCCAAGAGAAATACAACTGCTGAGACATTATGGAAAAGTAATATGTTTTGAGATTTCCCTTAAAAATATTAAATAACATTTTTTTCGTCTGGTTAATTGGTCAAGGCTCTAGCTTGTTTTTCCAAATTCTCATGACCACCTGGATGTGTAATGGTTTATTTATAGTAAAGCAGTAAATCTAACACAAGTGCTTCATCGGTCTCATATCTACAAATCTGAGGAACTAAGAGCAATGGCATCAGAGCAAGTGCCTTGAAGTGCCATGTGGTACAATGCAGTACACAAACCAACACATTTATTCATTTACCATCCAGCTTTACGTCACATTCATAAAGACAAGTATATAATTATGTGTTCTAAATATAAACACAGAGTAAGTAAAATATATTAAGACATATAAAGTGGTAACATGGGTGTACACAGTAATAAGAATATAAACAAACACATACAGAGTGTGTTTGCATATATATTCTGATCACTGTGACTCTGTTTGTATTCTTCTTGACTGGGTTCCCATACCTAGATTGATCTAACAGGATCGATCCATCCCAGAGGGGTTTCTCCCTATCTTGCTTTCAGCTTAAGCATCTTAGATGTCTGGCATGCCAACTGAAGCTACTAAACAATAATGAGATACCCCCAAGCAGCTTCAGTAGATGCGGCCTAAGTTATATACAATTTAGCAAGAATCTCTTGTGAGATAGATCGATCCACAGTTGGTATTAAAGGGTCTGGGAATGATCCCTTTCATTACAGTGCATGTCTTGTTACGCTGTTTGTAATCATTACTGTAACTGTGCATGTTGGTGTTGTTGCTATAAGCATAGTTTGTGTCTGTTTGTACTCTGATTGCTGTTTCCATTCTGTATTGTCATTGTATGTGTTTGTACATATTGTGATCACTGTGTATGACTGTGTAATCAACCAATTATTTGTATTCAATCTAGTTATTGTGCATGGTTGTGTTGTCAACGTACATGTCATAATTTATTCTCATCTCTGTGTATGTCTGTATTGTGACTGTGTGTGTTTGTATTTATTTCCATCACTGTGCATGTTTCTGTTGTGTCTATTCTGTATTGTTACTGAATGTGTTTTTATATATTGTGATGACTGGGTATGGCTATGTTTTCTCTTTTTCCTGTTATCACTGCACATGTTTCTGCTGTCCCTGTTTATGTTTGTATTTATTGTCAGCACTGTGTACGTCAGTTTTGTCACTTAATTTGTTTGTAATCATTGCTACTGCGCTGCATGATGGTGTTGTCAATGTATGTCTATGTCTTTGTTTATTTTCTGTTTGCTGTGTCATTCTGTATTGTTACTGAATGTATTTATATATATTGTGATGACTGTGTAGGGCTGTTTGTCCTATTTGTTTGTAATCATTATCAATTACTGTGCATGTTTATGTTATTATTGAATGTGTTAATTTGTATTTATTATGATCACTGTGTATGTTTGTGTTGTAACTGTTTGTGTCTTCATATGATTCTTAGCACTGTGTAAGTCTGTTTGTTCTATTTGTTTCTTATCATTACTATTGCGCTGAATGATGGTGTTCAATGTATGTCTATGTCTATGTCTGTTTATATTGTGTTTGCTGTGTCCATTCTGTATTGTTACTGAAAGTTGTTGTGTATATTGTGATGAATGTGTACGGCTATGTTTTCTCTTTTTTCCTTGTGTTCATTGTCATTACGGGGTACGTTCGTTACAATTGTCAATGTACATGTAAATATTTATTTTGATCACTGTGTATGTTTGTGTTGTTACTGTTTGTATCTGCATATGATTCTGTGCACTGTGTAAGTCTTTTTGTCCTATTTGTTTGTAATCATTATCAATTACTGTGCATGTTTATGCTGTCAATGTTTGTGTTTGTATTTATTATGATCACTGTGTATGTTTGTGTCATTAATGTTGATGTTTGTATTTATTGTGAGCACTGTGCATGTCAGTATTGTCACTTTATTTGTTTGTAATCATTACTATTGTGCTGAATAATTGTGTGGTAAATATAGGTCTGTGTGTCTGTTTATATTATTTGCCTTGTCTATTCTGTATTTTTTCTGAATTTGTTTGTATATATTGTGAGGAATGTGTACGCCTATGTTTTCATCGTTTTTCCTTGTATTTGTTGTCATTCTGGTACACATTATTGTTGTCAGTGGACATGTAATATATTTTGATCACTGTATATGTTTCTGTCATTACTGTTGGTGTTTGTATTTATTGTGAGCAGTGTGTATATCAGTTTTGTCACTCTATTTGGTTGTTATCATTACTATTGCGCTGCATTTTTATGTTGTCACTCTATATCTATGTGTCTGTTCACATTCTGTTTGCTGTGTCTATTCTCTATTGTTACTGAATGTGTTTATATATATTGTATTGGCTGTGTGGGGCTTCTTCAATCTTTTTTCTTGTGTTCATTCTGATAACTGTGCATGGCTGTGTCACTGTACATATCAAATTTTTTTGTGATCACTGTGTAGTCTGTATTGTGAATGTGTTTGTTTGTATTAATTTTGATTACTGTGCATGTTTGTGTTTCCACTGTTCGAGTTTGTATTTATTGTCAGCACTGCTTATGTCAGTTTTGTCACTCTATTTGTTTATTATCATTACTATTGCGCTGCATGATGGTGTTGTCAATGTAACAATTGTTGTCTATGTGTCTGTTTATATTGTGTTTGCTGTGTCCATTCTATATTGTTACTAAATGTGTTTTATATATTTTGAAAAATGTGAACAGCTATGTTTTCACTTTCTTTCATTGTGTTAATTGTCATTAAGGTGCACTTTACAATTGATAATGTACAAGTAAATATTTATTTTGATCTCTGTGTATGTTTATATTTTTACTGTTTGTGTCTGCATACTATTCTGAGCACTGTGTAAGCCTGTTTGTCCCATTTGTTTGTAATCATTATCAATTACTGTGCATGTTTATGCTGTCACTGTTTGTCTTTGTATTTATTATGATCACTGTGTATGTTTGTGTCATTACTGTTAATGTTTGCATTTATTATGAGCACTATATATGTCAATTTTGTCACTGTTTGTTTATAATCATTACTAATGAGCTGAATGATAGTGTTGTCAATNATATATTTTGATCACTGTGTATGTTTGTGCTGTTACTGTTTGTATCTGCATATGATTCTGAGCACTGTGTAAGTCTGTTTGTCCTATTTGTTTG